CTGTCAGTCTAGAAATTGATTTGAACACCGGATTACATGATTGGTTGTAACTTCGGATAAACACAAATATTTAGTCAAGTGTCTACCTTAGCTGCAAAGGCAATTGCCAAACTTTAAAAAAATATCTGGATTTTGTTACTCGTGATTGTAGTCCCAGGAGCATGAAGGGGAAGTGCTCTGAAAATAAAAGTCGTTACTGCCTGGCATTTTGAACCAGTAAATGTCAATAAAGCTTTGGCACAGCCAACGTGACTGGCACAAGTTTTCACATGTCTCATTTCTGAACATCCAAGTTGTTAAGTACATGTACTGCTACCATGCAGGGCTTTGCACTTGCTTTGTTTTTTGGTATGTTTTTTGTTTTCATTTCAATTGGGAACTTCACATTTGAAAACCAATTTGCAAAAAAGTAGGCTCTTCAAAAGGAAAAGGATGGGAATAGGAGAGACCTCTGCCCTGAATTATTTTAGTCAGTGGGGCTGAAATGTCAAAGGTCGTCATCACGCTGATGACATTTTATGGACCAACTTATAAAGGGATTCATCAAGTCTTCAAACCACCTTTAAATAATTCTTTTCATTCATTTTGGAAAAATTTAAAAAACGTTTAGCAGCTAGGCCCATCTTCAACCCAGAGCAGGTCGAAGTTCAAGTCCAAGCCAGTCAGGTTGAGCAAAGAAACTTACAACCCACGTCATAACCAGGTCGCCGTGTCAAAGGTCAATTTTAGGAAAGCCAATCTTGTTAAACCAAGGGCTTGCTGTACTACTTCCTAAAGCCCCAGTTGGGCCATACTTTGAAACTTGGGGCTATAATTGTCGAGTAACATGAATTTTGGGTTATAAATAGTACAACTCCGAGAGCAGTCTACGACCCCTAACCCCATGACCGTCTTTGTTATTTGGCCCACCCAAGTTTTGAGGACTCAAAACGGTATCCAAATGCAGCATTCTCAACTCTTCTTACAGCTAGAGTGTGTTCTCCTGTGATGCCTATGGACAAATATGAGTCAGGCCATACACAAGTGGTCTAGAAACTGACAGTGTTTTCATATTTTGCATATTTATAGGCAATACACGAAGCAGTAATAAATTTGACATGACATATTTCACTCGCTGTGGGTCAGTTCATCTCTTGTTCTAGTATTACCTTTTAAATATTTTGGTCAGGTGAGGGGAGAGATGATGTTTGTCTTTGGCTGTTTGACTTAGTTTGATTGCTTGTCCCGTGTCTGAACTCTTACCCGTTCATTGTCTCTGCACATGACTGGTAGAGGGTGTTACCAGAACACTTGTAAGACATGATTCCTCTAAGTCATTTTGTTTTAATTCCTAGCAGTATTGGAAAGTTTTAAAAATTAAAGCTTTTACAAAGCCTTTTCTTTAAATGATATATCTAGTTGTGGTGTGAATATAGTGTTCCAAATGAAAGAATTTGAATTTCACTTCAAATCCAAGGCCGTCAGTGTCCTGGAAATTCTTTGAAGGCAGTCAACCTTTTGACTGGAAACGGAAGAAAAAGGCAAACAGAAACACTCCAAAAATTGAAGCTGCTTTCATTGAAAGGTTTGCAAGAATTCATTGGTTGAGAAAGAACTGTATTGTAAGGCAGTTGTTCAAAACTTGCAGATAAACTGTCACCCATTTTTCTCCAACCTCATAGCCATCTTTACTGGCCCAATTTCCATCTGTACACCCACCAGTTGCCAATCTGAACTATGCAAAAGTGGGAGAAGAATACCAACTATGTTATAGCCAATGCAGCTGTACACATCAGTCCAATACATCACAAGGAAGTAGGAAGGGGCCAATAGGGCCTAAAGGAGTACTGGAGAACTTTATAGATGAGGGTCAGTGAAGTTCACTGACACAGACCTCACCTGTGTGCATGGTGTTGGCAAACTGATCACTTTGTGTTGGGGGTTATTATATCCCCCAGGCCATGGATTTTTTTCACCCAAATAAAACAGTTTGTTCAAGGTTATGGGACGGAGTCCCTGTTGGATATAGAATTAAGTCAGACAGTGTTGAGAGTGACCCAGTTATGTCTTGAACTATGTTGCCATTGACTTCAGAATCACTTTTGTTTTATTTCAGTTTGTTTCTCCAAAGATTTGGGTTAGTGTACAAATAGTGTAAGAGATATGGAACCAGTTTGAAAGACCTATATGTTTTCCGGTATTAGAAGAGTAAGGACCGTTATCAAAGTACACTCTTCATGAAAACGGCTTCTGCAGTTCTTGTGATGTGTCACTTCCATCCCAGGTTCAAAATTCTTGATGTTTCATGTAAGTGTGTTGAGGTTAACATTATACAAGGAATAGTTCAGATTTTGACCCCAAGAAAATCATAGAAAAATTTTTCCCATTTATACTTTCATACTTTTCCCCTTTTCAAGTTTGTACCTCTTCCCAAATTGTGATAAGACAATTATGCTATGGTTCCTGTTTGTGGACACCTTAAGCCCCAGTGCTTCCAAGAAAATGTTGATCCAGAGGTAGATCGTGGATGTCTTATGCATAGGACTTTGTCTTATTGTTAATACAACCTGTAGGCCTACTCGCTAGTGTCTCCTGCAGTTGAATCATTCCGTGGTCTTCTTTATGCACTGACCTATTCACCCTCCCCCCCTTCAGGATTGTCATGCACAACTTAATAACATAAATCACCAAGTGACCAGTATGGAAAATATTTTGAAATTATGTGATTAATTCACTTACTCATCTTCATGTCAAGAAAAATCTAACTTTTATAAACAGGTAAAATAAGTCCAACTGATTGGGGTACAGTTTAAAATGTCCCAAACCAAATGAGACATTTGATTGATTTCTACCTGTCCCAGTCAGTAGTTAATTGGCTTGTTGGGTTGACTGCTCTTTCTCACTGCGTGTGCATCCTGGCTCGATAGCTCTTGGCCCAGGCGATGCCTTTTTTTTCTTCCAGAGCATGTGTTTATGCTGCCTGCTTGCCCATGGCCCTTCACGAAAGTCGAGATCGCCACATGACTGTTTCCAGAACAGCAAGAGGGAAGACGACCTTGTTTTAGAAACCAGCAGACTTTTCATGCCACAGTCCTTTCAGTGTCCTTTTTCCATCCCTTCGCCTTCTCTGTCCACCCCTGTCATCTCTCATTTCTGTCTCCTCTCTGGATCTTCCTCTCTTTCCCGTTGCTGTCATTTGCATGGAGTGTTCCTGTTCGTGAGGGGATAACTGTCTGGAGATATTTGTGTGTTATGTTAGGCTCTGGGCCAGATGTAATATAAGGATAATGGGTGATCTGTGAGCGCTGTTGGTGTAAAATATAAGTGATTTGTAGTCGTGCAGTGTAAAAATGAAAGCTATATTGCTAGCTTGTCAGTAATATTGGTGGCAGTCATGTATTGCACAGGCCAGTCCAATTCCCCTCCACACTCACCCCCTAAAAGTTATGTCTGCGAAGTTTTAACAAAAAGTCATGAAATATACTTCAAAGTCTTGACTGCTTCATTACACGTCTTCTCCTCTTTGAATAGCAAACCATTATGTCATTGTATTACAATGAGTAAGAAGAATTGGAAGACTTGACGTCAAAGCTTGGTTAGGAACTTGAAGAGGCATTTGTCATGCTGACGTTTTCTTTTCTAAAATGGACTAAAAGGAGGAATCCCGTGTCATATACCATTTTATATATGTAGATATATATCCACCTTAGAAAGGAACATATGCTCTGTTATATTGATAGCATTCCTTTAATAGGTCTTCAAAACGTTACACCCCTTGTTCAAACCCTTCCTGAAGCTCTGCTTGGGACATTTAATGTCATTTCTATTTTCAAAGCATACCGACCTAGTTATACAGTTTGATGTCGTGCAATCAAATTATTTGGTACACCCTGTCAATAATCATTGAGTCTCACTTTCAGGCCGTTTGCATTTTTTGTTTTTGTTTTTTTTTTTTTCATTAAACCCTATTAACTAGGGGGGTTCAAGATACTTAGAATGTTTTTCTATTATCTTAGGCTCTGGGCACAGTGTAACCGTATTCCCAACTTAAACACTTAATAGGTGGTTAAAATTTGCCTTGGCAGCTAGTTCCCCACCCTTCGACAATTTTGTGGCAGTGTAATTGTACACGTTGATGTCTCGGGGCATGGAAGGCACAGTCTGGTTTTCCAGTGCATGCTCCCTGGGCAACCTGAAGGGGTATATAAAGTGTCTGTTTACTTGGTCTTTTGGTTTAAAGATGCACGTTTGTGTGGTCTGTTTTACATGCCCGAAGTAAAATCCTTTGATAAAGTTGTTATCACTGTTTGGAAAATAATATTAATATTTAAGCAAAAATTGAGATAGAGAGGGGGTTTTGTCTACTTAAGTTACAACTTCAGAATTTTGGATGAAAAATCAAAGCGTGTAATAGTATCAGAGCACTAGCGTACACAGTATTCATTGACATTAATTCTGAGTGTTTTAAATTGTTTTAAAATTGTGATGGCTATATGTGTTGTTTTGTAATTGTTCTTATCCTGTGAATTATGTGTGTCATAAGTGTATATACATTTTTGTTTGCGTCATGAATTACATGTGAATTGTTTTAAGGAAACCTTACAACCAGGAAACAAAAATTAACGGCGGAGTTGGCCACTCTGTTAGAATCAGCCCTTAATGCAAATGTGGTTACCTCAAATGGTACATGTATGCTTCCCAGTATTATCGAGTAACTTAGTCCCACTTGGTAGTTCATGAAGACCCTTTTCCAACTGTTGGCTTTTAATTTGTCTTTTATTTTCAAGATCTCACTGTTGGAACAAAATGGAACTTCTTTACACTTTGCTCCCACAGAGGTATGATGTTTCAGTGGTAGAAACTAGAGAGCTGCATTGAGCAAGAAGGTTTCATCTTAGGGTACTTGGCATACAAAAGTCCAACCTGAAGCAAGATGCACAGACAGAGCCTTGAGGGTAAAACAGATTTTAAAAGCGCACACATGTAAATGAAAATTTTCTCTCATTGTTTTGTCATCACAGCAAATGGCACTGTCTACACCTGGGGAGGAGGTACTGAAGGTCAGCTGGGTCATGGGTCAAAGGTCCTGTACCTTGGTGAGCCGCGGCCACTATCCCATGATGCACTGCCAAGGGTTTCACAAATTGCTTGTGGTGACTCCTACTCGGCCGCAGTCACACGTACGTATTGTAATATCTCAAAAATAAGCAACCATTAAAGATAATTGACGTGGCCTTAAAATTGACCTTCTTTTCAACATTTTGACTGTAACAGCATAAATTAAACTTTTCCTCTTTATTTCCTGTAAATACCTGTTTTTTTTTGTAGATAACTAAGAATGGCTCTGTATGCAGATATCTGATATTGTTTATTTTTCCACAATTTATCAAATTCTCCAGTAAACAAGCATTGTAAAATTGTAGTAAAAGAGACTACTATGAGCAAATCCACTGAACTGGATATTTGTGAAAAATCAGGATTAGGTGTAACCTGAATGTGCTTGTTGTGTAAAACCATAGTGACTTGGACGTTTAAAAAATTCTGTTACACACCAGTGGTTGAGTCCTTTCTTCAGAGTCATGAATGTAGTTTTGTAAGCAAAAAATTACGAGCACACCAACAACACAGTGTTAGTTCTCAGTTTTTATGTTTTGTCATGTTTTGTGTCATTTCATGTTTCAGCCAACGGCACCCTGTACATGTGGGGTAAGAACAGCCACGTGATCCCCACCTCTGATAAGCCAAAGCCCTACTGCCAGCAGCCCACCCCCATGAAAGTCTCCCCAGGGGGCCAGCCTGTTGCCCGAGTAGCTTGTGGGTCCTGGCATGCCATGGCAGTGGTAGGCACACCTGGTAAGTACATATAGCTCTCCAACCAAAGGAGGCAGAAAATGGCATGCTCCCCTCCATTGGGAAAAAAAATCAGAAAAAAAGCATACTGTACAGACACTTCTACACCATTTTTGTTATGTGCCCACATGGGGATGTTTTCTCTTCATGTGGATTATATGGGGTTTGCACACCACCAGTTAAAATTCGAGTCTGGTGCACCATTCACACTTTCACCTCAGTTCACAAGTGCTTTTGTGAGAAGGCCATGCAGTGTTATCTGGAGTATACTACCTTGAATCCATGTTATATTACATTTGCGTTCTTTGGGGGAGGGGCTATATATTGGTGCAAGAAGCTACTGTTTGCAGTAATTTCAATGAGTCACTTGTACTCAAACTTGTAAAGAGTGCTGCTTCACTTCTCATCCGAACATACACAGCTTTAATCTCAAGGTTATGGTTCTCATCTGTGTGCACACCGTTCTTCTCACTCTTGAGTATGTGAGAAAAAAGTACTCAATAATAATGTTGGCACTTTGTGTATACTTGCAATACAAAAATAGTGTCTGTGCAGGAATGGTACATCGTTATCTTGGACAGAGCACCAGTGTGCGATGGTGCAGGTCAAACATAACCAAGTTTCATTGGGATGGGCATAAATCTGCAATTTTCCACCTCAGGCACTGGGCGTACAGTCAAGATGGCATTTACTGTACACTCTCACAGTGGAGGGACTTTCACACGAAACTGAATGAAACCATCAAAACAAGGCCACGATGTTGCTCATATTTCGTCATCCGCATTAGCTTTATTCATTCACTTGTTACCAAGCAGTAAATTATCAACAGTATAAATATTTTCAGAATTGAACTAAACTGAACAAAAAGGCAAAATATCAGGACGTCTTGTGCAATCAATTAAATACGAGTTCATTGCTTTGTCACTGATGTTCAACCAATAATTGGTACATTGGTAGTTGACCCAGCTGGTGAATGTTAAGGTTAAGTGGAATTTGACTGGGATTAATGCCACTGTGCTTTCTCCAATTTATGTCCACTGTCTCAGTCATTAAAATGTAAATTAGGAAAATATGCAGGCATGAGGACAGATAATCAAAACCTTCATTGCAGGATAATGCTCCACAATGGCCACAGTACCATACTGGTTGGATTTCCATTAATATACTAGGAACTGAAGTTAATAAGAATTGTTAGACCAGTATAAGAAGTACACTAACCTGTGCAAATGATAACCGTGTAAATGTGGGTAGGCATTCACCGTGTTCAGGGGACAAGTTTGTTTGTTAGGGAAATTTGAACTGAGTTGTGGGGACATTTCTGAGTCCCCACAACGTTTTCGGTCCCCACAAAATAGGGGAAATGTAGAGTGTATGTCCTTACAACTACGGTACAGGAGGAAGTGAATTTTCAAGATGATAACATGTACATATTACTGTAGTAACATATTGTGTAGTTTTGAGCCCAAAATGTTGAAGCATTGAAAAAAGTTGAAATATACCTTATGTAGAATCAGCTAGTTATTGTAAAATAGTAGACATTTGCTCTGAAAATACATGTAGGTTTCAGTAGAGTGCAAGTACAAGGTAATTGTTAAGACCCACGATAAAGGTTCTTTGTTTTTAAGCCAGCCATTTTGGGCAATTTATATTAGAAATATTTCTCATTAGATGCATTGTATGTTTTTCTTCATTGGCTGTTTTCAATTCAAATTCAGTTCAACAGACTTTATTCGTCCTTGAAAAGGCAATAACATATGGTTGGAAAGCTATGAAAATTTTTTGCAATTGCATAGTACATATACTTAGCTGGATTTAAATAAATGTAAAACTTCTCTAAAATTCAATACTTTTTTAATAGAATATGGTGCTGAAACACGGTTGTCCATTATTTTTAAGTCTAGAATCCACTGGAATAATGGCGCTTAAATATGGCAACTGCCATCCGTACTGTGACAAATGAAATTAATTTAAAGAAATGTGCCTTCAAAAATGAAAATATAAAATCTAAGAATCATTGAAGAGTGTAAAAGCAACAGGAATAAAAGAGAACTACTTTCTGTTATACATGTACTTTTCACGTAATGGGCATTCTTAGACAGCGTCCTGATGGCATACAGAAACTGAAAATGTTATTTTCAGCACATGATAATCACTGGCTAATATTGAGTGGGCTTTCCAAAGTGCTGACTAAGGTCTCTCTGGCTCCCGGTCATTTTAGACCCCCAGGTGAACAACCCAATGTTGAAATACCGAGAAATCAGTGAAAAGAACAACGCACTTTCAATGAATAACTGATAAAAAAGACTCAGAATCATTTTGTCAATAGAAAAAATATTCAATTTACAGGTATTTATAAAAGATCAACACTATTGGCATTTCATGACATAGTTTTTAATTTTTTTTAATGATATTCAATTAATCCTAATTTAAATCTACATGTATTGCAGGTCATATCACAAGACCGGTCATGTTTTGTCTCCTGAATTTAGACTGGATGTTTGATTCTTTTATTTACTCTTTTAGCCAATTCAAGCTATATTGTTCTGTCATTTTGTTATCAAAGACTTACTGTTGGTGCTGTTTGAATGAAATAAGAAATTTTCAGGATTGTTTAAACCAATGTAAATATAGTTTTTTTGTGATTCCTGGAGCTGCAGTGTCCTTGAACAACCCAACAATTGAAATGGAAATGAGAAATTATAGTCTAATCGATTTAGAATTTCCATATGTGTGAATGGAAAAAAAGCACCTGCAATAATGTATGCACAAACTGCCTCGACCAGTTCAGTAACCGCTTATAACTCATGCTTTTTACTTTTGTCAACAATGGGCATGCAGTGCTGGACCCACAAACTCAGAGATATGCTGGTTTGCAGGGACAACTTGTCACGTGTATGAGCGTGTACACTTGACAGTCAATCCCCAGCATCTGCACATGTGTTCAGAATACATTGTTTCATATGCAAGGTATGCTTCATCCATTGAAATAACCGAATGTTTGTGTTCAGGCCAAATGTATAGTGGTGATTCCCAGTACCACTGAACTGTTGTTAGAGGGCTATAAAGTCACCCAAAGTACACTGCATTGTGGGAAAATGTCAATAAAGTACATGTATGTCTCCATTTTACAGTGATCACACTGGGCTCCAAATAATTTTGCATTTATGTTGTCCGTGCTTTCACAACCAAAACTTGCCATTGCCCTCTTTCTGTCATTACATGGGCTGGTGCGATCACTCAAAAATATCTTTCTGTTCATCAGTTGACATCCAACTCACATACCGGATGTCTGCCATGAGGCATCACATACATTTAATGTAGATAATGATTTAAACCCATGTGCCAGAAATAGGTCTTTGGGGGAATAAGAGTGTATGTTCTTAATTCTGTGGTTCTCATTTCCGACCAACTCTTATCTTTGGTTCCAACTCTTTATCCCTTTCCCCCAATCGAATGACCCTCTCTTAAGGTCAGAAAAATATGAGAACCGTAGAATCAACTACTGATGCTTGCCCTAAACTGTATTGTGGATTTCACCTGACTGTGAGGTAAAATGTATTATCTATGATGTTTCCCTTATCAAAGGGGATGGCTAATTTTTGCCCAAGTAATATTTTAATGAAGGCTGCAGCCATGTACAGCAGTTATTACCAACCCCCATCCTTCTTAGAACCTTAAAGCTGTAGTGAGCTTTAATGCGGTGCAGTTGAGTTGAATTCTAAATTCGAAGTGTTTTTACATTGATTATTTTTTCTTTGTGCATTAGTTAACCAATACAAGCAAGTTACTTCACCCTGTTGTTTTAGTCATACTTCTTTAATAATGTTGTGATCGATACATATTCGTCTTCCCGACTGACTTAAGGAACCTTCTATTACTGGAGTTTTGTTATTTTTTTTTCAAACTAGTTCTGTGGCATACTAGCTGCTCCACGGTAGTCCATGGAAACAGCAATTCCATGAAATCAACAGATTTTTGTCCAAGATATATTTGTCCCCAACAACTTCAGTCACTCTCCTTCTTGGCCACAGAATGGCAACCTCTTCAAGAGGATTCTGAAGAGGAGCTTGATCCAAACATCTCAATAGGAATGTGGGGAGATGGTGATTTCTCAGACAGTATGGAAGTTGGCGAAGGTAAAGACATGACACCCGAAGATGTAAGTGCTTTCTGTTCTTGTCAAAAGGTATACATGTAACCTGTTAACATATTAGAGGCTTTTAATTCATGATCAGCAGATTATAGGTATAATCCAGACATAAACACAGTGAAATGCTTTAGAAAATAGATCCCCAAATGTTTATGCCTAAATAAATTGTCAGCAGCAGCATGTTTTTGTGCATTGATCTCAGTATGTATTGTCGACCCTTTGCTTGTTTGTTTTTGTTGTTGAGGGCTTTCTTGTTTGGGATTTTCCTTTTCTTTTGGGGGGTTTTGTTGCGAGGGTGTTTTTCTTTTTCTTTTTTTTTTCATTGGTTTTCGTGTGATTTACGGCATTGAGGTTTAAATCCATGTAGCTGGTTTGCATCAGAACAAGCCCAGTGACGATCTTTAGTGATTTTTGTGAAGCTCAGTTTTGGCATAAAGTTGAACTTGCTTTTTTTTCCCAAGTTTTTTTTCTGCCCCTGTAATTCAAAGAGTGGATGTTAATTGTTCATGTGATATGAATATGAGGGGGTTGAGGATGTGTTGAGGAATTCAGTTTTTAAAACTTTTAAAAGCCTCCACTAAAAATATCGGGGTGGAAGTTGGAAGGTGAACAACACGGTTGGGTTGTTTCTCTGTAGTCTCTAAAGGGCTTGTGCTCAGTCATCCACTACTTGTAAATCAAATAAGTGTGCTTCTGTCTGCTAAAGTAGATTGAAATGGACCAGTTGATCCAAGTAACTTCATGGTTGAGTGGTAATAAAGTCATCTTTTTGGGAAATTATGGCCCTGCCCTGTTAAGCCTTTGAGCAGACTTGTCCCAAGACCTAGGTCTTGGGATTAAAAAAAAGTGTAAAGTGTTATCAATAATTTACAGTATCAAATGCCCATTCAGCCTGCCTTGATGCATCTGAATTGTGTTAGGATTATCAAAGTTGTCATAATGCTGTATGTCTTGCCCTGGCATCACTCATGTCAAGTTATATTGCATGCCAAGGGTCTGATGTACAAACTACAGATTTCTGTGCATGTTTGCACACAGCCAGTCAACACTTCGCACATCTTCACCTGCCCCAAATCAAGCCCTACTTTTTTCTATGTAAAAAACTTCTACTGTGCTTGCCCATGGGCTCAGTATACACAAACAAAAGAAATACAAGGACAGAGACTTTGTGGATTGCCACTGAGCACCCACACTAACACTGAGATGCTGAAGGGTTGTACACTTTCCTGTGATAATCAGTTGTACATACATGTACATGTATTGTATGGTTTGTACATGTACATGCAGAAAGGTACACATGTGCACCCTGAACTGCATAAGTGGCTCTTGCTGGCAGCTACCTACCTGTGCCCACCACCATCTGTTTTTACAGCATGGATTCCATTTGGCTAAGGCTGCAGTGTAGTTGTTTGCGTGCATCTGTGCATAGGCAGTCAGGCTCCCTATCCCATTTCATGTCCAACCCACCTCCAGCCTAGCTACTTCTATGAAAAATAAAGCTACATATACTTGCCAGTAAACTCTGCACCTGCTCCTGTGAACTATTTGGAAAAATACAAGTAGCAAACGGTGTTGCTACTTTATTTGAGGGCTTCTGTCACCAAAGTACACTACCTACTGATGTATACATAAAAATCACCAGGATGTTCTCCTTGTTCTGCACTTCTTGTCTGACTAGCTCAAACTTTCATCTTGTGAGTAGGCTTTACAACACTGTGGAGGTCCTCAGAGGTCTTCATAAATATGTAGTGTGTCGCAGGTCACCCAGTCACAATTTGATCAACTCAACTGTGATAAATTTGATCCTTTGTCATTGTGCATCCTCTGAGACTTGCAAACTAACTTGATGTTTTGACTTGCTTGACTTTCGCTTGATTTCTGATGGACTTGAGATGTACCCAACTATGCCATTGCATCACAACATCCTTCTGCATGTATAAATGAACCTATATTTACCTTACACAAGCAGTTTCATCAAGTAGAAAGAATAGGTCTTCCATTAACATTAGAACTACCGTTTACATCTCTCTCATGAACTATTTGGCCTCCCTCAACCAAGAGAAACCTTCCCCTCAAGTCATCTCTGTCAGAAAGGTTAGAAGGGTAGCCTTTGAGATGTTACAGAGGATTTGTTATTGATCTTTTATTCAGGCAAGCAACTGTGGCTCTGCCTTTCAAGAGCAGCCAGGTTTATCCGACCAACAAACCCACCCTGTGCAGCGTGAGGCCACCAAACTGACACTGGCAGAGTTCTACGCACCAACCCCACTCCCCGCCATCTCCGTGCCCGAAGATTACTCTGATGAAATGGACTCAGAACTGGACACTGAAAAGACAGACCCAAAAGTAGATGAAGTATACCAGGGAGAGCAGGCTGTTCTAAATTCAGAGGGGACAATGTTGGAATTAGATTCCCAGGCGGTTGATGAAGCAGTAGAGGAGGAAGGTATCCCTGCTGAATTGGACTCTGTGGATAAGTCACTGACAACACGTTTCTTCGTGGATATAAGTGGTACCTCAGTTGAACAAAGGACCCTCAAGAATGAAGTGTTGGAGACAGAGAGGTCAAACATAGTTAAAGGGGGAGTCTCAACCAGGAGCAAGCAGCACCAAAGCCAGCCACAGGAATCAACCATGGTTAGGTCCAAGACCATGCCTGTCGTTACTCGGAAACCTCTGAAAATGGCCTCAGCCAGCACCACAGCAGCATTCAACTGGAGTGATCCCCCGAAGTCCTCTCCTGAGACCGAGCCCACCAGCAGCCGATTTGTGATCCACAAGCACGTATCCGTCCAGCTGAATCGCAAGGGAGATGGCTCCAGTGACCGGACGAGAGGGAGGAAGCCAATTGCCCAAGTTGGGCTTCACGGTTCAGGAGAAGGTGATGCCCTGCTCAGTCGCTCCAAGGAGAGGAACGTTATGCCCCCGCCTCCTAATTTCAACAGAGCCAAGACATACTACGGCAGGATGAGTCAGAAGAGGCCAGAAGCTGAGCCGCGGCTGTCACAGTTCCTGTCGTCTCTGCCTCCAGCACCATCCCAGACATCATCTGCTCCCACCAAGCTGCAGGCTCGAAAACGTCTTGATAAACCTACTGGTCCTTCTGATCGTTCACCAAACTGGGTGAAACCACACTTGCTTCTTGTTTCAACTTCTGCGGAAGGGAGGGGTCAGATCCCAGGAAAACCAGTGTTCTCCTCAGCCGCTTCGTGGAGGACAAGAAGCAGTGAGGAGGATATTTTGTAAGAAACGCATCCGGAGATGCTTTCTTTTGTAATATGCATTCCAGAAAATCTTTAGTCCATCCCTTTTCTTAGGATCCTCAATCCGTCAGGCACAACCATAGTAAATCTTGGAAGATGAATAAGATATCCTGGAAATCTGGATTTAAAAAAAAATGTGCAATTAAGCCTTGCATGTTTGCTTTTCTCTTTTCAAAAATATATGTGATATCGAGTGTTTGTAAAGCATTGCAGTATACAGTATTTGAAATCGATTTAATAATATTGAGGGCTCGGGAAAACGCCATGGTCACACTGTCACTGAATTATTGAGAAAGGTTACTTTGAATATTCAGGTGTGGAAGGTTTAAACATAGAAATAGCTGTATTGCATGTGAAGTAGCAGAATAAAAGTGGATTCAAGGTGGTCTATGAGCTAGGTGCATTTGTTTCAAGACGGCAACTGTTTATGGAATAACGACACTGCCTTAACCTGAAGTATTTTTCGTGTTACTGCTTGTCTTACGAGTAGAGAGCGCGTACACACAGAAGAACTGTCTGGATAACATTGTTTCACGATATAGCTTGGTACAAGTAATTTTGTGTACTAAGTGCCTTATGTACAGTCAACAGCTACGAATGAGGCATATTCTGTCAAAAGCAGGGCAGGAACTTCGTTTGTGAAGGGGCAAGGCAATTTCTCCTTCGTAATGGACACTTGATAGAAAATCAGCTTGTTTATGGGAACATTTGAGTAGGCATCTGTTCCCGCCCTGTGAAAGCCGATATTTCTTGGTAGCTACTTTGGCGGAACTATACTGTTAAGTTAGTGTTGAGAGATGAAAACATTTGTTTATATTTCCGTTTCGGTTTTTACCAAGAGACAGCTTTTTGTGAAAGAACACTTATTTCAGATAAATCTGGCGAAATAGGGTAACAACATGGTATGTATAGGTTTATCTGTCGCGATTTGTTTGGTATATTCAATAACAAGTAACAATTTCAAAGTAAGATTTGCGCAAAACAGTTTTATGGCCAGCATTGTGAAGCTACGTTTGGTGTCATTGTTTGTGATATCTTCAAATTATGGTGGTTTTACATTTTTAAACAGAAGCCAGTTCACACCTGTACAGTGATAATTTTGTTACCATATCATGGACAGTAATATGTATATTATTGCGACTGTCTAATATTAAATGATATTGCGTATCAAATTAAGCATTAATAGATACGCTGGTCTTTGGAGGGTGACGAAACGTTTCTGTGATGTGCACCAAAACTTTTTCCCCTTTTTTTCCCCAGAAAATACTTTCCTTAGTTCCTTGCTCATACAGCTGTGTAGTTTTTAATATATAGAAAGGGTAACAAAATTTGGACTTGAGTGGAAATACGACTGCATTTTGGAGAATGCTGTGTTGTGTAAAAATGCGAAACTGTCCCGGATTTTGGCGCGGCTTTGTCAACAGTGGTTTTGGTTTTTAATTGTAACTACTTTATGCTGTGAAATGCTGTGCGACAGTATACCAATTTCATATCGAACAAAGTGGTAGGTGTATGATTATTCAAGAGATAAGAACAAAGTGGAGAGCATTTTTCTGTATATTTTTGTACATCTGTAGATTGTACGATTTGTCATATAATTTGGCATGAATTAAAGATGCACTATGTTTGAGCAATTTTCTTGTTTGTTCTGTGCATATGTTTAATTATCGTATATACAGAAAGGTCCTTATGGCAGTCACAAATTTTGAAAATATAAGGCCTTATTCTAAGCTTGAAAGAATTATTGATAGAAATAAAATATGCTCCAAACTATTTTATTTATGCAACTAGTTTTTTTTTTTGGGGGGGACAGTACACAAATTTAACTAAATTCTCTTGGAAGATTTCATGTATATATATATTTTTTGGTTATGATCTTTCATGCATTTTTCAATAAAGACTCTATAAGTACGGCCAACACGACTTGATGTTGATATTGATATTGATAAAGATATTGATGGTATTGTCGGTGCGTGCTTTGTTCGGTTGGATCTTAGGTCAGCTTGTTGAGTGGTAAATTTTGTTTGTCCGTTGGATGGATGGTCAGCAAGTTATTGGTTTGGAAGGTGGACTAGTTTAGTGGACTAGTTGGTTGATTTGAGTGGGCCTATTTAGCCGACCAGTTGGTTGGTTTGGGTAGGCCTGTTCAGCGCACAAGTTGATTGATTTAGGTAGGCCTGTTTAGCCGACTAGTTTATTGATTTGTGTAGGCCTGTTTAGCTGACTAGTGGGTTGATTTGGGTAGGTCTGTTTAGCCGACTAGTTGGTTAATATGGGTGTTGTTTGTTGAGTCGAGTTCATTGGTCATTAGTTTTGCTGGTATAGGCCTATGTTAACTTTTTTAATAGTTTCACGCTTATCGCGATCATGCAAATGAGAACTCATGTAGTTTGGTAACGTTATTTGACAATGTCGCCTGAAAGCATATAACTTGGGCTTTCAAAAAAGATAAGTGTATTTGTTTTCGGGAGGCGTTCATTTTCGGACAGTGAACCCACATTAAAGGGGTTACCGGTCCTTTGCAGTCGTGTCGAAATCAGGTGATGTTGGCACTGTCTTGTTTCCCCTGGAAGCAAAGCTCATTGCATTATGATTGTGAGTGTCAGATATATTGACTTCATAAGGCAACTGTTAGATACCATATTCATATTGTCAACTAAATGTATTTTGTCTTGTCAACATTCCTCCCTTGCATTTTCAACTGACCCAGAAATTAAATTAAAATGTTGTTATCTCTTCAGCTTAAATGCTGGGCACACTTTGTGAAATGGGCCGATTCTGGAAAGCTTTACTGCGACGACTACTATCGTGCCTATAGATTGCTTGTAGACAAAGGATTTCCACGATGTGCCAGGAGAGATGATGGACGAGGAATTGAGTGGCACCGCTGAGATTGTGTACCGAAATAGACCTTTAATCTTGACAAGTATCCGGTCCTATAGCCACAATCAACGATTGACGCACCATCCGTAATCGGTTATTTTTCTTCCCATCCTTGCCCGACCCGCACAGTCGAGCCGTGAGGCGGGGATGCAGCTATCTACGAACCCCCGCGGCTAACACGGATTGCTGGTGTTGCACCGGTACCCCCCACGGCATTGTTTTCCTTAGTTTCCCCATCAAATTCACCGGTCATTGTCTGCCAACCTTCTCCGGGGTTGGGTGGGAATTAGTCGGCCCAAGCTCGACTAGTCCGACCCGCCTTGAGTGTGCGACTTGTCTGTTTCCCTTCCCGAAGCACACCTCGGTCGAAACCCTGACGTCGGCCCGGTGTTTTGAGAGCTGGGAGGGGGGCTAGAGGGGGTAGACAGTGTTAGGTTGGGGGGAATAAAACAGGGGGCAACGTCCGGAACATAAATGTATCGGCGCGTAACATAAATCTCTGGCCCCCAGGGTGAAATTTATTTCAGAGTGCCTGCAATCTTATGATTTATGAGCGTTGGCACTCCCCGAACTCGTTAGGGAAGATTTTTTCCAAGGAGATGAAAAGGAAGAAGGGAAAAGGGAGAAGGCTGCCCGCGTGCTGATGTGTAAAAAATGTGTTTTCTCGAAGTGGAAAGGAAAACATCGGCGGAATTGCTGAGAAAATTGGGGGGAGGCTTCTAATTTATTGTCCACTTGTTTATTGTGTTGGCATTAATGTTGGGGCGGAGATTCTAAGATTACGGGACATTCTGTTCTCGGGAATGTCTTGTCCATGTTTGCCGGTTATGGAGCACTGGGTTACCGCCGTCAAAACACACGCCCTCTGCTAACGCCTTTCTTGCCTTTCAGAACAGTCTCCTGATTTTGTAGTACTTTGCCATTTTCTTGGCACCCCGCCTTTGTGTGTACAAATTTTAAGATCTGATATGTTCACGGATATTTTGACCTCGCCAGTTGGGGGGTAGGCCTATTGTCAGAGGACAGGTTTGGGGGAATAAGTGTAAGGTACCGTGTATGTGCCATCGATTCTCTAAGCTGTAGCTACCAACGTGTTTCTGGCCAACCTTTCCAGTTGAGTTTCCCATTCTGTTTCCAAAATCAACATGTTAACGGAAGAAGAATGCTCATGGGCGTTAAACCTATGGGAGTAGGGGATATACCGCCCTCCCCCAGTTTCTGGACAGGGGATATGCCACACAATCACTCCTCCCATTTTTTGTGCAAAGAAAAAAAACAAAAAAATGCTTATTATCAGCCCCATGCAATAAATTGAGAGACAGAACTAGTACTAGGGTAATTTAATAGTACATCAACATAAGATTTATTTTTTCAGAGAGGATAGACGGAGGGATAGCTGGATAAGATTGTCGTGTTAATATTAAGATGCTTTTCATAATTTGGATGACTTGACACTGTCCAAATTATTTGCAGCCATATTAGTTTGTATCGATTTTAGGAGCAACTGTACGTTTAGTTCGTGCGTTATGTATCAGGCATATAAAAGGCTGTAGTGGGAAATAGGAGAAAATTTAATCGGACAATTTTTGTTTAACTTGTTGATAAAAAATGGATGTTGGTAATATCAGGGAAGTTCATAGCAACCCTACAAACCCCAGTTTAATGGGGAGTGGGGCTCAGCAGTACCAATGACGGCGTCACACAGTTTCTAACCCCCACCCCCATCCCCACCCGACCCTTGCTGGTCGTCCGCCAGTCCCCATACTTGCCATGCGCCCCAGAGAATGCTAGAATGTGCATTGTGTGCATACTGGCTGAATGTAAGAACGCAGCCACCTCTGTGGGTTCATCCCCAGGGTTTTGAATGTCGCAGTACGCGCGCCATGCAACGTCATCAGAATTCTCTGATGTATTCCGCAGTTGAGTGTTATCCCAGACTGACGAAAACTTTTTAATCGTGCGTATAAATTATGTTCTGCACAGGTACTTTTGTGTGAGCGTCGACTGTTTTAATTTCTTGATTTTGTTAGTTTTCCCTGTTTCATTGTTTGGGTTGTTCTACCCTTCTGGTTATCACACTGTGGGCACGAAACGGAGCTTAATTTCTGTTGGAGTGTTGTCGTGTTGTGAACGGTGTGAATACTAGTTTTGAATGTGAAGCGCTGAATTTGAGACTTGTATTGAGCTCTTTATGTAGACGGTCATATAGAGCAGCCCATTATTATCTTCAAGTAAAGGATGTTTTCTCGTGGGTGCACATGGCATGGCGCCAGAGAATGGATGCAATTGCAAACCACGTTGATTTCTATGAATTAACGCCCCACACGAACTGTCAACAGCGGATATTTTTCAGGCGGGCAATTTTTCCATCGTATCAACGAATCCAGGTTTTCCGCACATTAAAATTCGTCACGGCTCCTTGTCAATGCTACCATTAACAAGAGGGAATTTCTTTTCTGAGTCTACGCAAGACGGAAAGCCGATAGGCCTCCGTCAACACCGTCCGGGCCGAAGGTTTGCTTCCAAACCCCGGTCAATACCCTTGACACTACTGACATTGAACCGCGGAGTTTGTCTTTCTTACTTTCCCACTGCTTTTACGCCCGGTGTCTGTGCCCCTTTTATGCGGCAACACTTTTGCCTCAGGGCTGGATACTTTGATAAAAATGGATATTTTTGCCCTCAACTGAAAGTTGGAGTGGGGGTTGATTGGCGTCTGTGCTTGGGGACGCGGTGCCGGATGTTAGAGTTGTGGGTTAGCTGGGTTGCGTCGGATTGAGTGGGGGTGGGTCGGGCAGGGATATGGGTGGTCAGAGGTGGGGTAGATGGATTGTGGGTTGTGCTGGGCGATACTTACCGCGACGTTTGAGTTTGGCGTCTAATTGGCTTCACTGTATTAGCCAGTTTGTGATGCTGTTGGACTTTATTGAGCGTGACTTGGATTGAAGATTTGTCATCCCCTCTTTAAAAACATCGAGGACCGGCTGTCTAATTTGAAATGGGTTCCACGGTGCAAGACAACCATTTGTGTTTTTTGTTCTCTGTCTTGTTTTAAGTTTTGAAGTTTTCTAACCGAGTTCGTTGCCAAGTATTTCTAAAATGACATGCCACCGTGGCTCTTCGTCTACGTCTTCGGCTTCATTCACACTACAACATGTGGAACCAACTTGAAACGCTATAGGCCTAAATATTAGCCCCGTGTAAACAGTTAGTTTTCTCGCAAGCAGGAACTGTATTAACCTGGATTGTGTTCGTAAACAAAACTTAGGCAGCCTGTCTTAGGTCGAAGCGACTTTAAAGCCGAAACTCCACACCGATATTAAAGAACTCGTAAAGCTAAGACGCCATTCACCACCTACTAGCAACCACTGCGAGCCCTCGTTGTATCATGAAGCCGAGATTTCAAAAGAGCTCATGACCTCGCCCCCTCCCCAACGCACGAGCCACTGCGGTTGACTCAGTGGACACCTATAAATTCAATACTAAGGGGGAAATTGTGACAGTAAGCGTAGTATCGGCTTCGTGGACAAAGTGATGGCTGGACTATTTCATACCAACTGACCACTCAGGTTAGGAAGTGGCAGATCGTGTGACGGTAATGGGTCGTGTCTCCTAGCCGCGTCGGACGGCGGGCTAAATGACCCGCGAGTCGCCACGAGGTTGACCTGCGACGACTCCCTCAAGACCGTCGGTTCGCGACTGCGGTTTGCTCTCACGGGAACGTACTGATTGGCAGAGACACATATTTGCGTCAT